GGGACGGGGAAGCACGGCTCCAGTCCTTCCCTGGGGCGGCTCATCCCCGTCCCCATTGTGGCACTGGGAGGGGACGGATGCTGGTGGCCCTCGCTGTGTCCCCGTGCTCAGCCGTTCCCATGACCCGGGGGCAGCGGGGCGGCGGCTGCCACGGGGACAGCGCGGGGCCACCATCCCCGTCCCCGTGCCTCTCGTCCCCCGTGGGCTGCGCGGCTTCGGATGGCACCGCCCCACCGCGTCCCCAGGGCCCGGCGCTTGGCTTCCCCCGTGGTTTCTGTCCTTCGATGTCCCCTGGCTCCGTGCCCTGGACGGGTCCCCTGTGGGACTTGGCGCTTTGGGCTACGGCTGATGGAGACTTTCGAGGACTCGCGGCGGACCGCGGCGCCGGGAACGTTGGGACGAGGGATGACGGTGACACGGGGCGGCTCACCTCCAGCAGCGGGACGGGTCCCGGCCTCGCCCTGGCTGCGAGCGGGGACAGCAGCGGTGTCCCCAATGCTCCCGGTGCCCCCGCCGATGCCAGCCCCGTCCCCTATCCCTGCAGCTTTGACCTGGAGAATGGCCCCCCGGGAAGGGGCCCGCTGGAGCCGCAGTGCAGCCCGGGCGCAGGGCTGGTGCTGCAGGGCGCCTTCAGCCACGGCCAGCGCCGCGAGTCCTTCCTCTACCGCTCCGACAGCGACTACGACCTGTCCCCCAAGGCCATGTCCCGCAACTCCTCCACCGCCAGCGACCTGTAAGTCAGCCCCGACCCTCCGTCCCGCCCTCCCCCCGCCCCTCGCCCCCCTCCTCACCCATCTTTGCTCCCCGCAGGCACGGGGAAGACATGATCGTCACACCCTTCGCCCAGGTGCGAAAAGAGGGGAAACGTCCCCGCGTCCCCCCGTGCGCAGCGCTGTGGGGAGGGCCGGCGGCGCGCAGCCCATCCCCAGCCCCTCTCACACCCCCCAGGTCCTGGCCAGCCTGCGCACCGTGCGCACCAACATGATGGTGCTGCTGCACCTCCAGGAGCGCGTGGGCACCAAGTGAGTGGGGGGGCTGGGGGGGTTTGGGCTGGGCTGGGGGGCACGGCGTGGTGCTCAGCTCTGCGCGTTCTGCAGGCGGGCATCGAGCAGCAGCCTCCCCTCCGCCAGCAGGGCCGGCCTGTCCGGTGAGTGCCCCAATGGGGACAAACAGGGGCCCGGGGGGGAGGGGGCAGGTCGCTGTCCCGCAATGGGGGTGCGGTGTTCCCTCACCCGTGGGGTGCAGCGATGGCTTTGCCCTTTGGGATCCATGTCGGGTTTTCGGCGGCTCCATCCGCTCTTCACACAGCGGTGGAGGTGGAACGGCTCCCGCTGACGTCAGACCTTCCATTAATAAATCCCCGGGCTGTGCATGGAGCCCTGTGGGAGCCCCGGGCCGGGCGTCACCTCGGGGCGAGGCGTGGGGACGGTGTGACACCATGCTGTGCACTGGGGACGGCGCGCCTGGCCGCAGCGCCCGCTCAGCACCGCTCCCCAGCGCCATCCCATCACAGCCCCATGGGGATGTGGGCATCCCTTGGTGGGGATGGCGGGGTTGGGCCTCCACCCGTGTCCCCGTGCCCGGCTGTGACGCCGTGCTGCCCTGCAGCAGAGGATGCTCAGCAGAAGCTGTCGCTGGAGACCCTGGAGGAGCTGGACTGGTGCCTGGAGCAGCTGGAGACGCTGCAGACGCGGCACTCGGTCAGCGAGATGGCTTCCAACAAGGTGAGGACCGCCGCCCTGGGGGTGCTTGCCCTGCCATGGGGGCACAGGGGCTGCCCCACACACTGCTCATCCCTGTCCGCTGCCACCTGCAGTTTAAGCGGATGCTGAGCCGGGAGCTCTCACACCTCTCAGAGAGCGGCCGCTCGGGGAACCAGGTGTCCGAGTACATCTCCAGCACCTTCCTGGGTGAGTTCCTGGCAGGCAGGGCCTCCGCACCCCTCTGCAGCTCAGGGCCTGCAGCAGCTGCGCAGAGCTGGGCACACATCACTGCAGTGCTGAGCCCCACTCTTTCACATTTTACAAGTCTGGGGGAGTGCATCGGGGCTTTTCTGGGAGCTGCCCCGGCTTTGGGGGGTGTCACAGCCTCAGTCCTGGCTATGAACATCAGTGCAAACTGGGGCGTGCTGGTGGATGCTGCTCTGTGCTGGTGCGTGGGTTGGCAGCTGGCGCAGGGCTGTCCCTGCACGGGGGATCCCAGGGGACAGCCCTACGGTGGGTGGGTGGGTGGGGGGAGCTCCCGGCAGCCCCCCGGCGGCCCCCGGTTGCCATGGCGTCACGGTGCTCTCCGTGCCGGCTGACGTCAGCCATCGGGGGGGCTGTGCTCCCCCTCACTGCCGCGGCCACGCAGACAAGCAGCACGAGGTGGAGATCCCTCCAGCGCTGCCCAAGGAGAAGGAGCGGGAGCGCAGGAAGCGGCCGATGTCGCAGATCAGCGGTGTGAGGAGGCCGGCTCACGGCCCCTGCCTTGCTGCCATCCCGCGCTTCGGGGTGCGCACGGAGCAGGAGGGGCTGCTGGCCAAGGTGAGCCCCCACCCAGCGTGGGTCCATCCCCCGTCGGGGTCCTGGCTCTCGCAGAACCCCGTCCCTCGGTCCCCAGGAGCTGCAGGACACCAACAAGTGGGGTCTCGACATCTTCAAAGTGGCCGAGTACTCAGGGAACCGCCCGCTGACGGTCCTCATGTACAGCATCTTCCAGGTGAGCACCGGGGGGGGGGCTGCCCCCTCCTCACTGTTCGGATGACCCCAGCCCGGTCCTCCTGCAGGAGCGTGACCTGATGAAGACGTTCCGCATCCCCGCCGACACTTTCCTCACCTACATGCTGACGCTGGAGGATCATTACCGCGCCGACGTGGCGTACCACAACAGCATCCACGCCGCCGACGTGGCGCAGTCCACCCACGTGCTGCTCTCCACGCCGGCGCTGGAGGTGAGCCCCGCTCCCTCGGTGCCACCAAACGCGTCCATCGTGGCTGTGACCGCCTGTGCCGCCCTTCCCAGGCCGTCTTCACCGACCTGGAGATCATGGCCGCCATCTTCGCCAGCGCCATCCACGACGTTGACCACCCCGGCGTCTCCAATCAGTTCCTCATCAACACCAGTGAGCCGGGGGGAGCGGGGCGGCGGGGCTGCGTGCGTGGGGTCACCGCGATGCGACCAGCGCCATCATCCCGCAGACTCGGAGCTGGCGCTGATGTACAACGATGCTTCGGTACTGGAGAATCACCACCTGGCTGTGGGCTTCAAGCTGCTGCAGGAGGAGAACTGCGACATCTTCCAGAACCTGAGCAAGAAGCAGAGGCAGTCGCTCCGCAAGATGGCCATCGATATGGTGCGCGGCGCCGTGGGGTGCGGGGCTGTGGGGCGCTGCGGTCGGGCTGAGCACCCTGCCCTGCATGCCCTGCCCAGGTGCTGGCCACTGACATGTCCAAGCACATGAACCTGCTGGCAGACCTGAAGACCATGGTGGAGACCAAGAAGGTGACCAGCCTGGGGGTGCTGCTGCTGGACAACTACTCTGACCGGATCCAGGTGGGCACGGGGATGTGGCAGGAGCGTTGCTCAGCCCATGGCACTGGATTGAGGTGGCAGACCTGGGGATGAGGGCTGTTGGCTGAGCAGCGCGGTGCCCTGCAGGTCCTGCAGAACATGGTGCACTGCGCCGACCTCAGCAACCCCACCAAACCGCTGGAGCTGTACCGGCAGTGGACCGACCGCATCATGGCCGAGTTCTTCCACCAGGGTGACCGGGAGCGAGAGAAGGGGATGGAGATCAGCCCCATGTGTGACAAGCACACCGCCTCCGTGGAAAAGTCCCAGGTTGGGGGCACGGCGTGGGGTCGGGGCTGAGGGGCACCGCGGGGGGCTGAGCTCTCCCTTCCCACAGGTGGGATTCATCGACTTCATCGCCCACCCGCTGTGGGAGACCTGGGCCGACCTGGTGCACCCTGACGCCCAGGAGATCCTGGACACACTGGAGGACAACCGGGAGTGGTACCAGAGCATGATCCCACACAGCCCCTCCCCACCGCCAGAGGTGGGATCCGAAGTTCCCCCCGCTGACCCCGGCAAGTCCCAGTTTGAGATGACACTGGAAGAGGAGGAGGGAGAGTCGGACACAGAAGCGGAGGGGCCCGAGAGCCCTTTGGAGGAGGACAACAGCGGCTCCAAGACGTCGGCTACGGATGATTCGGAGTCAGCTGACACAGAGCGTTTGTCACCTGGCTCCGGGGACAGGGAGGTGGACAACAGGAGAGTGCCGGAGGGGACACTGCCAAAGGACGGGGCTGGTGGTGGGTGCACAGCACCGGATCCCCAGAGCGGCGGGGAGCTGTGCCTGGACACAGAGGGCAATGTCACATTCCTGCCCCTGGGCACGTAGCGGCCCGGCCAGAGGGTTCCATCGCTGCTGTGGGGATGTGGGACTGAGCACTGCCCCAGAGAGGGTCGTGGGCGCTGCTGGGACTGGCACACGCAGCCCCAGAGGACGTCCCCATGTGGGAGCCGGGCAGATCCCAATGGCAGTGAGGATATGGCTCACCCCTTCCCCTGCTTCCACCCGGCATCCAGCTGCTGGGAAAGGTCCCCATCACCACAAACAGGGCTCGAGGATGCTGCTCCTGCCCCATCCCAGCCCTGGGCACAGCAGAGCAGTCCCCACTCAGCACGGTGCGGCTGAAAGCGTTTTGGTGTCACGGTGGCACACAGTGGCATCGCAGCACAACGCTGGCTGTGCGCCCACAAGTCGGAGGTGTTTTTACTGGGGGACAGCTTCACTTTTTAAAGCCTTTTGTAGCTCACTTCATCCCATCAGCCTCACCTGGGCGCGCACAGCAGGAGCTGCTCTGGCTGCACTCATTGCTGTTTGGCACCGTGGGCCCCGATGGGGCGGCCCCGCGACGGTTCGGTTTCTTCCTTCACCCTGCAGATATTAAACCTCGTTTGTTTCTCCACTCCTCTCCAAAGCGGACGTTGCTCCTCTCGTGGGCGCTGGGGGCACCGTGCCCGGGTCGCGATGCGCTCGGTGCCCCCGGGACCCCGCGGGGAGCGCGGAGAGCAGCGCTGTGCGCTCGAACAAAGCCGAACTCCTCCCTGGAAATGTCGCTCCGTCGCTGGCAAACACTGCCCACGAAGGTAAATATTTAATCGCCGGCTTGGCGCGGCGCGGAGCTTGCTCCCTGCTCTTCCGCATTGCTCCCGGGGGTGATTGATCGGCAAACACGGCCCCACCCGCAGCACCGCCCCGGCAAACCCCTCCCTTCACCCCAAAGCAATAGAGGGTCCCCACGGCCCCCCAGCCCCGCACTGCCACCCCCTCCTTTCGCCCCACGGGGGAGGAGCCGCCCTCCTCAAACCTCCTGGGAGGGGAGAAAACAGACAGATCCCGGGGCCGGGCTGAGGGCGGTGGGCGTCCCACGGGTGTGGGACTCTGTGGGGCGGATGGGGGCTCCGTGACCCCGGCCGTGGCGGGGGGGGGGGGCAGCGCTCGGTGCTCCCCGCAGACCTTGTGCTGCCCGCAGCCCCAAAGGGGGGACCGGGGTGATGCTGCGGGCCAGGGTGCGGGAGGCCGCGCCTGGAGGTGGGGGATGGAGGCGTGGGGCCGCACTCGGGCCCTATGGGTGGTCTCGAGGCCTTCGGGCCCCGGCTGCGGGCTGAGCCCCCGCCATCTGCCGCGGCCTAATCCGCGCTCAGCCCGCAGCGGGGCCGTCGGAGGACGCGAGGTCCGGGGCGGGACGCGGCCGCCCACCTGCAGCGGGCGTCACCTCAGGGCGCGGGGTCACCGAGAGCGATGGGCTCAGGGGCCCTAAGGGTGACAGGTGCAGCGGTGCGGGGCTGCTCGACCCTCCCCGCTCCCCCCGCCCCGCGCCGAGGATGGGCGCTCCCGCAGCCCCGGCGCCGCGCCCGGCAGGGGGCGTGTCCCAGCTCGGCCCCGCCCCCCGTCTGCCGGCTGCCAATCGGCGCTCCCCGTTTGCCCCTCCGCTGACGTCAGCCTCTCATCTGCATATCGCGCCACGCCTCCTCCGACGTCACCGGGCTCTGCAACCGCCGGGGCGGCGCGCGCCGCTGCTGCAGTCGCTGCGGGGAGCGCGGGGAGGAGGTGAGCGCGCGCCCCCGCGGCCCCCCCAAACCCCCCCTCCTTCCTCCCGGCCCCGGGACCCCCGAGCATCGGCGGCGGCGGGGGAGGCCGGTGGGCATCGAGCGGGGCGTTGGGGCCGCGCGGCAGCCGGCGGCCATTGAAGCTGCAGCGGGGGGGGGACGGGTTGCGAGGAGGAGGGGGGGGGACTGGGAGCTCCGGGGGGGTCCGCGGGTGCGCAGCGCTGCGGGAGGGGCCGGGGGGGGG